CTTACTGATGTGTATAATCTCAATGCATTTAATATGGCGGTTATGTTTGTTTTATTTCTTTGAGTGTATTAGGAGACCAGTTCCGTAAAAGGGAGGGGTTGTCTGGACGATGTTGAATGAACTGTGTCCCTGACCCTGTCAGTAAAATCGTAATCTAATTATAGGTTTTTCCGCTTTTAAGATTTTAAATACTTCCATGTTCTATTTTTGTGTGTCTTTGTCTGTAATCAGCTCCTTTGTTATGTACAGTGAAATCATGACAATTGATATTTTCTTGTCAAGGCTGATTTCTTACTTCCTATGTAGTGATTTTATCCAAATCGAAGTTATGACAATATGACACCTGTGTGCGTTATCAATATCAGTAACTACAATTTTCTTTACAGTATCATTAAGTTGACTGTTTGGTTCGGTTTTATTTTGTTTAACGCCCAATTAACATCTGAGTTAATTTAAGGACGTGCCTCCATGTGTGTGTGTGTTGTGGAAGTGTGTAAGTGTGTATGTATGCTGGAGACAGGGTGTGTTGGTGTACTTGCCTCCTTGTAATAGCGCGGATCTGATGCCGACGTTATAGTGGTATCTCACTGAAACACCATGTCGAAGGCACCCAGCACAGCATTCCACCCGGTCACATCATACTGACAACGGATGAACCAGTTGTTGTCATTACGTCAATGCCGAACGTTAAGCAAGGTATAACACCTAACATTTTTAAGGACTTTGATATGTCCCGGCCTGGGGACAGAACCCATTGCCTTCCTCACCTGGGCGAATGCTCAACATTAAAGCCAGAGGTGAGGCATTGCCAACCTAGGCGCTAGGAAAGAAAAGGTAGTTAGAAGTAGAAAGAAAGATCAAGAACCCAAATATTGCAATGGGTGCAGCAGATTTATTTTGGTCGCTTTTTTGTCCCCAAGTAGCGGGCACAAAAGCAAATCCCTAATTTTGCAGGGGTTCCCACATAAGTCGCCTTTTACGATATAATACAGTGAGTAACAGCTGGTGTATTCTTTTCTCGATCCCCGACCTGCAGGGGTGCATTTAGTTGACAAAGCTAAGAACCGAGTCCTAGTCAAGTTTATAATAGTAGATTTACACTTGCTTCACAGTGTGACGTCGATTCTTTGAAACCCAATTTGGGGTTGGCTTCGCAAATATTTGTTCACAGAAGATACCTAGTTTGTCACTAACTATTCTAACAAACGTAATTAATAATATCCTTCACCTTTCACCATCACCGAAAGAAAAAGATTGTTTAACTGAAATGTTGAACCATCAGTTATTTATCAGAAAAGCTATTACCATCACAGACATATAAAATATAACATGATATTACCACGCCAACATCTGAAAACAAGATTCAAAACATTCCAAAGTCAGAAAAAATGTATTTCCAATTAAATTTACATTGATCGAGAGCGTATTAATGTGTTTACAGAAGATACATATTTTCTGTGAATGGAGAGTAAATATGTTTAGGTTTGGTGTACAACATACTGCAGGATTGTGTTCTATCAGTACACAACAATGATATATAGATACAACTACATCCAATCACGGCAGATCGATGTAACATCAGAAAACCGCTCGAGCAGAAGAAATGTCCAGTCCAGCTCACATTATGTCCGGAATGTATTAACTTAAATAAGGAACTTGACATTTGAGATTTTCCGACGTAATATGAAATCAATGAAGATCCCTCAGTGATGTGTGATATTAATACAGTCAGAAAACGTCAAAATCATTGCAAGAATGCTATACGTAGGGGTCCAGTAGTGCTATAACTGTATTGTAGAGTCCTTGCGTTCTCAGTAATGTGTGATAAATACAGTCTGAAAACGTCAAAATCATTGCGGGAATGCTATACCTAGGGGTTCAGTAGTGCTAACTGTATTGTAGAGACCTTGCGTTCTCAGTAGTGTGTGATAAATACAGTCTGAAAACGTCAAAATCATTGCAGGAATGCTATACGTAGGGGTCCAGTAGTGCTATAACTGTACTGTAGAGTCCTTGCGTTCTCAGTAATGTGTGATAAATACAGTCAGAAAACGTCAAAATCATTGCAGGAATGCTATACCTATGGATCCAGTAGTGCTAATTAACTGTATTGTAGAGTCCTTGCGTTCTCAGTAATGTGTGATAAATACAGTCAGAAAACGTCAAAATCATTGCAGGAATGCTATACCTAGGGGTTCAGTAGTGCTAACTGTATTGCAAGGTCCTTGCGTTCTCAGTGATGTGTGATAAACACAGTCAGAAAACGTCAAAATCATTGCAGGAATGCTATACCTAGGGGTCCAGTATACGTAGTGTTAACTATATTGCAGGGTCCTTGCGTCCACTGGTACGAGTGTAGGACGCGGTGATCAACCAGAACCGGGCGATCGACGGATCAACGTTATCACAGGTTCTATCAAACCTGTTGAGATTTTGTTCTATTGGTTATATATTATGCACATGTGCATGAAGATATTATTTACTACGCATTATAACTTACCACTGACGACAATAAGGCCCCGTACTTGACCATATACACATATTAAGAGGCTAACATATCTAACAGAAACATTACCACAAAATCACCTCGCTCAATTTCCGCAAATAACTGTTTACGTGCCTGCATTTAAATGAATTATTATGAAGGACTTATACTTGTAACGTTAGACGAGCGTTCGTTGTGTACTTTGGCTAACGATCACAAAAAGAAATAGTTTGGAGAGTAAATCATTTATTTACACCAAGAATATATCAAAAACGAATCACACTCTCGCACTCACTATCTCACAGATAACTAATGATACTACTACAGTCTATTCTAGCTTCACTCTTTGACGACACAGGTGACACAGCATAGACACAGTCTATTCCAAAGTATCACATAGTGTAGCTCCAGTGCAGTAGATTTATGAACAGATCACCAACTGTGATAAAGGTTAGCTCATCTTATAATTCCATCGGATGGACAGAAACGATGAGCCAACCATATTTCTACCTGTATAGTACGTCGTCTCTCCCGCGCTTACCTATTTCCGCCCGTGATACATACCTGCCGCCTAACGGTCATAACGGTATTTCAACCCTTACCAATTCTTGCGGACGTGACGATACTCATGAAGTAAATAAGCATTGATATATGTCTTGTAAATAATAGTCGTGGACTATTTAAACTTCTACCCCTTCTTATGAGGAGAGAAAGTTATCCTATATGATTGTCTTCCAAACGTGTTACAAAAAATGACATATTAAACTTTTGAATAAAACATGAATGTTATAAATTATTATCAATCATTGCTGATGATTTTGAGTCACATACTCGTTATTTATGATTAAATGCTTATGTTAAGATAATAAAGACAATATCACAGATTGAATTTAATCTAAACATAAAGCTATTATACTCGTTATTTTTGATTAAATGCTTATGTTTAGATAATAAAGACAATACCACAGATTGAATTCGATCTAAACATAAAGCTATTATGCTCGTTATTATTTTATTAAATGCTTATGTTTAGATAATAAAGACAATATCACAGCTTGAATTGAATCTAAACATAAAGCTATTATATTCGTTATTTTTGATTAAATGCTTATGTTTAGATAATAAAGACAATACCACAGATTGAATTCGATCTAAACATAAAGCTATTATGCTCGTTATTATTTTATTAAATGCTTATGTTTAGATAATAAAGACAATATCACAGATTGAATTCGATCTAAACATAAAGCTATTATGCTCGTTATTATTTTATTAAATGCTTATGTTTAGATAATAAAGACAATACCACAGATTGAATTCGATCTAAACATAAAGCTATTATGCTCGTTATTATTTTATTAAATGCTTATGTTTAGATAATAAAGACAATATCACAGATTGAATTGAATCTAAACATAAAGCTATTATATTCGTTATTTATGCTATATGCCATTAACGTGTTTTGGACATTTAGCTCTGCTTGTATTTATTTTACTACTCTTTATCTTATTCACATGTAAAGGCCTGTTTGACTCTGGCCACCCTCGTCACACACGGCGACAGATTGGGCTGTAAGTATATTTAATGTGCACAGCATGTAATTTATTTTTGAGTAACCAAGAACGTCGAATCCAGATAGCCACCAGTCTATCCGAGCTGTCGTATCGGTGTATTGAATGATGATTTAAATGTCCAGATGACTGTTGTCTGTTTCCTGTTGTAGAAGTTTACGCCAAAAATGGTGTTATCCGGAGCTAAGCTATGTCAGCCACGCACTTCCTCAAGTCATCACCTCCATCATTAACATCTGTGTGTAAGCCCCACGATGACACTTCAGACAGCCTGGAGTATCCACAAACACCGTTGCGTGCTATCTGCGTTGTTGTCCTCCAACCTGTCCCTAATTTAGTACACAGTTATATATAAACACAGGTATACGGTTATTCTCATATCACGGTTGCAAACAAAAGCTTCATTTTAACGGAAGTATTGTTTCGTCAATTTCATGGTTTACGATATTTGTAATGTTTAAATGATAGATGTACGACCAACAAGATTTAATATTTGCAATGTCAGCTTAGAGATGGTTATGTCTGGACAAACAAGACGTTTTATCTTGAGATAGTGGTATTAGTTTCATCTTACTTATAAACAACTGGCACGCATATAATTGATTAATTCATTACGTTATTGTGTATTAAAATGATGTAACTAATACACGTATGTATTGGTTGTGTTTCATATATTTATTTATTTCAAAATAATGCCTACTCATTTTGTGTAAGATCAATGGCCACAGAATAACATATGTATGTCAGTTGTCTGTTCTTTGTAGCTATATTCCCATACACGGGTGAATGCATATGCTTTGTCTGTCCGACCCGCCGGCAGGGGGCACCCTATGCAAACCGGTTGTTTGTTTATGACAATTAATTACACACCAATCAGAGGATAGGGTACCTATAAACAAGACCTGGTGAGGCGCAGATGATGGTATCATATACTGGAATGCCGTGTGTCTAAAGGCGTACCTACAGAAACACGCTATTATCTACGATTCATTGTCGCAAACCCTGGGACTCTCAATGAGCACCCATTGTCTCATCCACGCTTGCTACAATGGCACCGGCGTCCATCTTGATAACACTTACACCGTTACTAGGTAATGAACAGAACTCTGCCCCTCAAACAAAATCTCAGATAGCCCCAGGTTTAGTGCCGATCACACACACAGAGCACTTTGGCAAAATGGCTGTCTAAAATTCTCAACGTCGTTTTTGGTGCCAAGTCCTTAGCGCTAGACAGTAGACACATACATTATTTCAAGATTTCGGCAGCCATGATATGAGTACGAAGGGATGCAATGGCGACCATGACTAAGGAAAAGGTTACATTGACCCCCTACGCGTCACCATCGTCCACTCCAAGACTGCCGGCGGTCAACTCCCGACTCATCCGTAGACAGGGAATTCTAGGTAAGGCAATTTATTTGAATATTTTAACTCCTGTGGTTATTCTTGTCGGGAAATAAATAGAGTTTTCCTGAGTAATCAGTGTTTTTATACCATACTTCTTTTACTAATTCCTATTCCCTAGATGTTTCTACGACAGTCTGTTAAATACGAATTTATCCTCTTCTAATGACAAATGTCAAATTATAACATGCGATTATAGCATCAGATAAATCAATTTATTCTTTTTTCCCGTTTTTGTTTCAACATGATAGTTGCTGCAATTAGACGTCATTCCGTAATAGATCCCAGCTATGTTTAAGTTCACTCTGATGTCAAGGAGCCATTGTTTGTCCCCTAGTTCACTGGAGAAAACGATAATATTGACGACATTGTTCATGAATCACTGTTTTTGCATAAATTTCCCTGAAATACAGATACTTTTGACGACATAGTTCAGAAACACTTGTCCCGTTATTAGTTCACACGGGATACAGACCGTTTCGGCGACATCGTTCGGGTTCCGTCAGGCCTAGTCTTGCCCTACATGAGATACAGATGTTGTTGGTACATTTGTAGTCTGTATTATAATGCCATCATCTTTCCAACCAATGTTCAAGTGTGTAAACCCAAATATCAATGATATTCTGCAGCGTGGAAATTACTCCAAATTTCCTCACAGATGTTATTCATTGTTCGTTGAATATATATATATATGATATAATATATATATGATGTGTTTGATACTTCTTATATTTGCTTTAAAAGGGAGACTAAACACGAAAATGGGATGTCAGATATTGTACATTTTTAGATAAATTAGGTTTTGCATGTTGTTGATGGTGATGTCTATCCTTTTGTGTTGGTATCTGTTTTGTTTTGTAATGTTATCTAGAAATATGTTTTAGAATCATTTTGTTTCCCTTTCGTTTTAGATACACATTAATTCCTAGTTATATCAGCATCAATGAGTATCGTTTCTGATAATATAATATTTCCTTCTGTTTTAGAGGCTATTTTAGTCCTGCGTATAGTTGCTTTGTTGTACTTGGATTTTATTTTCATCTCAACACTATTCTTATTACAATATAATATTCCAAACGTATTATATCTCGAGGACCATTGTAGAAATCCAAAACACCTAGAAACCTGGCGTAATAAGATATTTTATGAATGACATGTCTGTGATGATCTCTCTTTGCATATAATATTATAAGGTGTTACTGTTTTATCATAGTTTGTCTGCAATAATAACTCTACAAACTGTGCCTTTTTAGTTTACGAGGATAAAAATGTCATTTTCATTACTTCTATAATACTTTCCTTCTATGTCCCCATACAGCCCAGCTGTGCACCCGATGTGGAGGGTACAGTGGCTCTGACAACGAGTACTGTATGAAATGTCGGAGCAGTCAGTGGAAGACCAACCCACTTATGGTAAATTGTTCAGGCTGTTAAAGTAACATTCAGTGTTTTTTTGAAATTTATTTAAAGTTTAATTTTTAAAAAACAAATGTGATAATTCACGTAGTTGTGATAATACTAAGTACCTCATGATATGAAGATACAATAGCAAAGAATAGTACTGAGAAATCTGTTTTGTATGGGTAAATAAGTAAAGCTTTCTAATGCAGTATTATTTTGATAACGGTCACTGAAATATATCCCCGTTGTCAGTATCACACAGTAAATGGGTAAATCTTTCTTATGCAGTATTATTTTGTTAACTGTCAACGAAATATATCCCCGTTGTCAGTAGCACACAGTAAATGGTTAAATCTTTCTTATGCAGTATTATTTTGATAACTGTCAACGAAATATATCCCCGTTGTCGGTATCACACCTTTATCTTTGTCATTTATAGCGAAATTATGACGATGTCTACAAAGTGTACGCAGAGGAGCAACGAGAGAAGACGAAGAATATTCAGGTACTGCGTCAACCCGAAGGGTGGCTGGAAATCAATAGACAGAGGACGAAAGAGGAGAGAAAGGAGAAGAAGAAGAGGTACCAGGAGCGACTCAGCATCCAACATACAGGTCAGTATCTTATAGAATATTTCTACTCCAGGGAATGTTGATGCCTTGATTGAAGACACTTAAGCAATGCTCGAACATTGGTGACTGACTTATTGGAGTGACCATATGACACCATAACGGGTGTCATATTGAGGAGAAGAGAATGCTTACCCTTCAAATCTTTTGTTTTAGTAGAATCCTTATAGTTTTCGTGTTATTCCATGATGTATCGTTTTCTTTTGATGTGTCTGTGGTTCCTACTATTGATTAGTTTATATGAACTTTAAGTTTTAACGTGTTACCTTTATCTCGACGATGTGGTGTGTAAACAATTTGACTGATCTTTCGTTTGGTTGTTTGCGCCAATATGATTGGCCAGATCTGTTTATCAAAAGTCATTTCAGTGCAAGTTTTGTCAGATCTTACCTTATAACATTAAGAAGCATGACACTAGTCGGCATCAAAGCTATATACTGATAAGGAATGACATCTACCTCAAATAGCCGACACTTTTGTAACAATGATTTATTTATATATATATTGAGATGTTCTTAAAAGAAACACACCATATGGTAGGTACATAATATAAATAAGGTTATGCCATGAACCATTGTAGGTATATACTGTGTTGAGTGCCGGCGTTCGGAGAAACAGACCAATGGAAACCTCTGTCTAATATGTGACGCTAAGAGACGACGGCGTGAACTGGATAAGCGTGAAAAGACAGATAAGGTGGTGAGTATACATATACCACATACCCATCCTTGTGGGATGGGTTAAAATTAGTTACCATATATCTTATCATTAGAGTTTTTTACGCAGAAAACCATGAAATGGTTCCAAAACACTTCAAGCCACATTCGGGATATGTATTTTGCAGTTTTGTGATTCCGCTAGCAATTTCATCTGTATTCATGTATTTTCGTAATGCCATTTTGTCATTGTTTAGCCGATATTTCAGTATTTATCAACATAGTTCTTGATTCATAAATCAATCAAAAATCCTATTTTAGTTCCTGTTCGACGATATGACCCCTAGAAGGAAGAAGAAACGCCAGATCGATGCCTTAGAGATCGTCCCTGAAAACACTGTAGCAACTGCAGAGCCAGTGAAAGAGAAGAAGACGGAAGCAGAAGAACCTCTCGCGAGCTAGACAGACAACGCTTACAATATAATGAAGGTTTGTGAGGCTTGTCGTAAAAAACACTGACTCAATACACCTTTAAGCTAGACAGTCAGTAATTACAATTCAATATAGGTTTGTAGGGCACGCTCTTAAATACACTACAATTTACCATCATCGTGACAGTGTATCTGGTGACTTCCGGTTCAAGTGTCATTTTAAAGTTATCAATGTTATGGTAGTTATCTAGTGACTTCTGGTTGAAATGACAATTTAACAAGTCACAAATAACATGGTAGATATTGTAGTCATATCCGGATAAATTAACGAGTTACAAGCTATCAATGTAATGATCGTTTATCTAGTAACTTTTAGTTGAAGTTACAGGTTAAATGTATGCGTGACCTTACCATTATTGTTGTGCAATCAGAAATTAATTCAAAATAGTTGTAACTAAAAATATGCATGATCATGTTGTTGTCAACCGAATATGTTTAGAAAAAAGTGTTATTTCCAAATTAAAAGATATGAGGTGGTTTCATCAAAACAGAAATATACGTTTATCTTCTTGAAATTTCAGTCACCTATTTCATGTAGCTGTATTGCTTTTGAAATATGATTTCTATCTCTTTTCCAGGAACTGTAATGACAAACACCAGAACGTCGGAATCATTTTCCAACTTTGTGATAAACGTCATTGGTTCGGTGGTACTCATTGATGTATTCAAATTTTTCAGACTCTTCATATTGTTTACGTTTTCTTTGTCTGTCTACTTCACATCATTATTAAAATTAAATCATCTACTTTTACAAAGAAGTTCAAAATAATGACATAACATTGCCTGTCTATATTATATAAAGTTCCGTCAATATTTATATAGTGTAGAAAATGCTATCTTGGACTACACAGAGGTGGCAAGTTTACAAGGAAAGTTCATTTTGATAAACAGTGTTTCGTGAATAATCATCAAGCAGTTGATATGGCCGTTCTGTTTATTTTATTTCTTGGAATTCAATATGAATTAAGTGCTTAAGACCATTTCCGTTGAAGGGAAATATTTGTTCGGATGTATCGACAAACGCGGAAACATGAAACGTTGGTGGTGAATGGGTTGTGTCCCTGACCCTGTCAGTGATATCGTCATCTTTCTTGCTTTATTTGTAATCAAATGTTTAATGTGATCCTGTCAAGACTGATTTCCACTTTCTTATATGGTGGTTATTAATTCAAATCCAACATAGATACAACATGACATCAGTGTGCGGTATCACTAGTCTGGTCATTCATAATTTTGCCTGAATAAAGAAAAGAAGCTTTTAAATATGTGAAGAGATATCTCGTTAACCTAACGAGACTCCCGAGAGTTGGAATAACTGTGATAGGCAATGCTGATAAACTGTGATATCAATATGTGTATTCATAAGTATAAATAAATTTGCTCATAACTCGAAAACTGTTGTTGATGTCTGTACCCTCCTGCTCCCTGTCGACACTGCTGTGGCGGTCATAGCTATGCCTGAGAACCATTATACTTTCCGTATCTCAGTTTCTAAGCTTTGTGTATTATTGAAAACATTTGGCAAACACTATACAAAATATAAAAAGACGGTAAGTGAAACACGTTTGAACAACCATGTTATAAGTTGAAATACTATAATTCGATAAACTCATCATTGACAAATGAATATAACATACAAAATTTTGTTGGAGTTATTAAATAATCGTTGAAATGATGTCATATATCACGTCAGCTACATTTGGGATGAGTGTATATAGTTACAGCGCATACCTATGATAATTGTTTATTTCAAATCATGCGTAAGTATAAAGGTATATCTACGAGAAGTATGTATATGTGTAATAATACCTCTACGAGATGTATGTAAGATTTGTTAAAGGTCTTATAGTTGAAAGAACCTTATAGAGACCCTTTACAATTAGTGTTATATGCCCAACAGTTCGCATTTAGATAAGATTTTGTAAGTCTTTTTACAGCCTTTGTTTAGGCTGTCAAATTCACGTATCTCTAGAATACACGTCGAGCTTGTGTACACACCTGTGTTTAAAACTTATTTACCTATTGATCTGTTGATTCATGTGTAAAGTTAATATATTTGTGTGATGCATTGTATTCGTCAATGTACCTACTGTAAGAACAAGTTGGAAATACAGATAATGGATTGTTAAAAATGACTCGTAACGCTGTAGTAAAAATTATTATACAATATCTGGAAATGTGTTGTGAGGTAGCACTATGTTTTTGGTGACATTATCAGTAAAACTATGTTTCATTAAATGGGCATATATAACAAACATCAAAGTGATCATGTCAAATAACGTCAATGTCTGAGATGATTATACAATAACATATCTTAAGATTCTTAGTCAACAGCTCATATCGGAACTATGACAAGGGTTCCATTCAATGAGAGTTTCATAAATTCAGCTTGAACGAGTTTCTTTTATATAATATGAAATGAAAGAACTTTGAGTTTCTGTTCATCACATTACGCCTCAAAACACATGTTGTCAATGCTTATGTAAAAAAGAAATGAAAACAATATCCGCAAATTGATTACGTTACTGTAGCAGAGTATTTATTTTGACATCACCATCCATTTATTGTCTACGAAATATAAAAATGTAGGCTTTGTGTATGGTTTTTTTTTACATTATTTAACAGTTCTGGTATTGGTCTAAATTATTGTGTGGAAATGGCAATCTGTTACAACAAAATATAGCCTTCTTTGGTTTTATTCACGTGTATCATAAACAGAAATCACACGAGTTATCCTTATAAGGAAAGATTATATAACGAATTTAATATAATGAAAATAAATGAATAAATAATAATACCAGTAAATCACTGTACAATACCAAAGTGTCAAAATAACATGTTCCTTACTGAAGAGATTGATTGCTAACATATATCAGATAAATAAAACACAAACAAAACCATTCAAGAGGAACGGGCCGAGATCACGTAGACAGTCCGCACATGACTATACTATAGCTACATATATCATCTGTACAAAGTCCACCCACGTACTTATAATATACTGCTGAAAATAGACAACCCTATGTGATTGTCGTCCTAATGATATTCAAATTTCAACATCAAAGGTTTAGCATACTGTAATGATGGCTATGTGTTTAAGGGACATGTGACATCTAGATCTATACATAATGTATATAAATTTACATACCGTATAAAAGGTTACTTACGCGGGCTTACATTTTCACGATTACGACCCAAAATTAGAAAAAACAATTTTACACGGAATGTTAATTTGCGATCTAGACATGCGAAGGAACTATATACTCGTGGTGTTTTAGTACAGAGACGGGACACTCGGCATACAAAATGTAATTAAGTCAAATGGACAGGCGTTTTGCTTACTAACTTTTTTGACATCACAGTTTCACAAGTTCGTGGAGTCTAACTGATGTTTAAAGAGAGATAACCGCACTATTTCGAAGGAAACATTCCCTAAGACGGCGAAGTGGTGGGGCCCTCTCGTCGCCCAATCGCCTTTTTAATGTACTCTTTGACCATGTCCAAGCTGTGATGAACGTTGAATTCCATCAATTTTGAAATACGGAGAAATTGGTTTTCGGTAAATTCAAAGTTGATACTGTCATACGTTCCGTCATCAAAGATAGAGAAATCAGCAAACTTGCGATCTTCTTCCGTTTGTGTAGTACCTATAAAGAATGTCATATCCAGGTATAGTTTATACATATAACATAAATTTATAATTGTGATGGGACACAATTCACTGTTTCTTTAACAATTCACTGTTTCTTTAACAATTCACTGTTTCTTTAACAGTTCACTGTTTATTTAACAGTTCGCTGTTTCTTTAACAATTCACTGTTTCTTTAACAATTCATTGTTTCTTTAACAATTCACTGTTTCTTTAACAGTTCACTGTTTCTTTAACAATTCACTGTTTCTTTAACAATTCATTGTTTCTTTAACAGTTCACTGTTTATTTAACAATTCATTGTTTCTTTAACAGTTCACTGTTTCTTTAACAATTCACTGTTTCTTTAACAATTCATTGTTTCTTTAACAGTTCACTGTTTATTTAACAATTCATCGTTTCTTTAACAGTTCACTGTTTATTTAACAATTCACTGTTTCTTTAACAATTCACTGTTTCTTTAACAATTCACTGTTTATTTAACAATTCACTGTTTATTTAACAATTTACTGTTTATCATGTTTATCGGCTTTAACTCAGATTTGTTAATTTCATATTTTTAAACGAAAACGAGCTTCATTGGGCTATTTAATTTAAATGAATATTATCTTATGAGATTTAAACAAAAAGCAAGGGACAGGTTTGTTAAACTTCTCTTAACCACATATATATGCCCATTTCGAGTGATCAATATTGTTGTAGAACAGCTATCCAGGCCACATAGGATTTGTTTTCATTTTTCTTTTCCAGGTTTCTATTTTATATGCAAAATCCTGACAACTTTGCTAACATCTCAATACACAATGTTCATATTGAGGTATCGTAAAGTCAACATTTTCAAATTTTAACATCCATTATGGTAGCACATCGAGAATGAGAGTCCTTAATGGAGGACTTCAAGTCACATGGTATCGTATAAATGTCACTAACTATCCAAACGGGTAAAACTCCATACGTTACTTCGTTTATCCCTGATATTATGCTCTATCTTTCATTCTCTCAACAGTTTCGTATGTACTTATTCAGACCATCACTCTAAAGGTATACATAATTTATCCGTAATGCTTGTTATGAACGATGAGAAGGACTATGTATGAATACGCTAGAACTTGTTTCCCAGTCATCACAATGAAATGTCTTTTGTAAAATATATGGTTTAGCTCATTCACCCCTGAAGACACATTTGAAATGTTCCAATTCAAAGGTTGGAGTAGTTCATTATAAAATTTCAGGGGTGAATGGATTAAACTAAAATGGCATTAAACTATTAACCGTCATTTTTTCCTTTGTTCAGGATTTTAACCAATCAAAGGGAAGGCATTTATCAACCAATTAATGAACACTGATATGTAACAAACATCTGCACCGTTTAATGGATGGTCTGGCAGTTGATAAACCCATACTTTAGGGCAGAACAGGCATTGCTAATGTATACCGAAAATTTGGTGGTGAAGTTTAATTTTCGTCTTTTTCGCCCTCCGAAATGAGAGCGAGTTTATGCATAAAATGCGTTATAGAAGGGCGAAATAGATTTCACCCTCAAAGTGCGAAAATTGGACTATTCCTGGTATACAATATTGGTATGATGTATATTTGTCCAGGCCGTTTTGCCACTTTTTGTTTTTAGGAATTTCGAGAGAGGGAGATATGTTTAATGTAAGATATCAAACGAGTTTTCTAAAGAATGTTTTTCTTGCATATATGATGTACTATTTATGAAGTGGATTTAAGTAATACCTACCTTGTTTGTACTGATGACGGAAGTGATTATTGACGAGAACGAAGTGGAGAATGATGGGACAGTTTGGGTCAGCCTCGTCTTGGAATGCATACAACTCCTGCACCGGTTTGTCCTTGTACTGTTCAATGTTTATTGGAGGAAAGGGAACCCTGTGATCGTCAGCCCATTGTTTCGCCAGTAATAGTTGCTGTGAATAGCACCAGGAAAAAGTATAGGCAAACCGCAGAACAAGTTATAGGTCAATATTAGTTCAAGTAAAGTCAATATCACTACAAGTTAAAGGTCAATATCACTTCTGGTTACAGGTCACAATCAGTACAGGTTAAAGATCAACATCAGTACAAGTTATAGGTCAAGATCAATACAAGTTAAAGATCAACATCAGTACAAGTTATAGGTCAAGATCAATACAAGTTAAAGATCAACATCAGTACAAGTTATAGGTCAAGATCAATACAAGTTAAAGATCAACATCAGTACAAGTTATAGGTCAAGATCAATACAAGTTAAAGATCAACATCAGTACAAGTTATAGGTCAAGATCAATACAAGTTAAAGATCAACATCAGTACAAGTTATAGGTCAAGATCAATACAAGTTAAAGATCAACATCAGTACAAGTTATAGGTCAAGATCAATACAAGTTAAAGATCAACATCAGTACAAGTTATAGGTCAAGATCAATACAAGTTAAAGATCAACATCAGTACAAGTTATAGGTCAAGATCAATACAAGTTAAAGATCAACATCAGTACAAATTAAAGATCAACATCAGTGCAAGTTACAGGTCATTATTAGTACAAGTTAAAGGTCAACATCAGTACAAGTAATAGGTCAACGGCTGTACGAGTTAAAAATCAACATCAGTTAAAGTTATAGGTCAACATCAGCACAAATTAAAAATCAACATCAGTGCAAGTTATAAATCAACATCTGTACAAGTTATAGGTTAACATGAGTTCAAGTTAAATGTCTTTTACGTCATTATACAGTAGGATACTACCATCCAAATAGCTTCCATTGTCCTATAGCGGATTTGCTTTGTTTTCTTTTTCTTTTACAATATCTCATATTCAAACATCTCATAACGGTCATATATGTACACTTTGTATCGAACAAATGTTATTTGAAATAGTTTCCACCATTGAGGTAACAAACCTCAAACGGCTGGCTGTCATCCTTGCCTCTATCACTGAACTCGAAGGACAGAATGAGGTCAACCTGGCGTTCAGGCCTGAGGATGAGAGGGTAGGGCGAGTTGTACACCAGTCCTGCGTCTATAAGACACATGTGATCCTCCTTCGTAGACATCGGCTCGTCGACCGTGGTGAATACGCCTGGGACAAAAAAAGACACGTGTAGTCCTGTTCTTATTCTGTATGATTCACAGCGCTCAAACACTTGTTTAAATATTGGGAAAAATATTTTGTGCTTCTTTAATATCAAAACAAACTTAATATTAATTTGTTTGTATCATTTCACATACTCATATATATGCTCTATTTTCAAACAGCAAAACAGGAATAGATATGCATGAGAGACACGTTGATCTTTTAATTATCTTGGCATATTCTTCTAGATCTCTAAATGCTTACTGTCAGTTGGGGTATCAACTTCATCCAACTTCACCAGTGTCAGCTGACGCATGAAGTTGGGAATTTTCGCTGCACGGCCACACCGACTGTCCAGGTAGTTCATTCCAAACCTTAGATAAATAACAAGAATGCATCCTAATGTTGTTGACAAACGTATGAAATAGGATAACTTTAAATAAGTTTCATTTTGCATTTTGTTATATATCCGTATCTATGTGATATATATAGATATATATATCTAAGTGTGCCCCCCTTGCTGTGACTGTTAAATCCACTGCAGAATAGAGAGGCGACTAATAAGGGCATTCCGTTTTGAGATTTTGAGATTTTTCACATTTACCGGACCAGATTCCCACATGCACATGTTCCACGTTTTTGATATCTCGTCCCTTCTTTCTGGTGCTTATCTCTCGTTGACTCACTTTATGCGACAGTGCATCTTGCGCAAGAATATGTCCTCTACATCAGCGTTCCTTGTCCGCGATGCTCTCAGCTTAATTGCTGCATTCGGCTGTCTTTAGCCGAGGGGACTATTGGTTTTATATAATAGCTATGTTTTCAATTATTGTATATCAGTTCTTTCTTCTTGTAATATGATGTATATGTACATGTAACTGTTCTGTTTCACTGTGTCTTGATAAAGGAGCGGATCGCTCCGAAAATTTGACAACCTAAACTTGTCCACACAGTTGGAATTACTTCCCATATAACACTGGATATATATATTTCGTCCGTAAGGATCATTTTTCTGTTTTATAATATGTATGTATATATATATATGGGTCAAAGAAGTAATATAGACGGTAAAATCCCATATAACACTGGATCCTAATGGAGGTATGTCCGTAGGATACGAATTACTAAAGTATTATATGGGACAAAGAAGTAACTTTGTGAGATAGACATACTTATTTGTCAAAGTCAGTTTATAAAATAGACATACCTAATTTGTCAACGTCATTTTGGGAGCTATACTAATATATTTGTCAACGTCAGCTTGTTATATATGCTTACCTCTTTGTCAACGTCAGATTGTGAGATATATTTACCTATTATCGCAAATAGTTTGTGATAATATACTTACCTATTTAACAAAGCCACTTAATGAGATAGACACATTTTGTTTCCAAAGCAAGTTCATGAGGTATACTTACCTGTTTGTCAAAGTCAGTTTATGAGATATACTTACCTGTTTGTCAAAGTCAGTTTGTTAGCTATACTTAGCTATTTATCTCACATGGTTGATGAGATAGACCTATCATTTTTAGGATCAGTTTGTGAGATAAACTTACCTATTTGTGATCGTCAGTGTTTTGATATGTATAAAACATAATATATATTTATCAACGTATGAAGACAGTTTGTGAGATGTATATACCTAATATATATTTATCAACGTATAAAGGCAGTCTGTGAGATATACATACATAATATATATTTTTCGGCAAAGGGTAGTAAATATTTTGAAAGAAGGAATTGTGATTTACTTGTCAAGGATTCCCTTAGTGAAATCAATCCAAGAGCTAAGGTCTTCGTCCATTGTATCGGTAGTGTTCCAGTCTCCTTCAGAACCCCTACCTGTATAATCAAAGAAACAACACATTTAGCTATGAAGAAACAAGAGAATATCGAAGTGTCACCAAAGCGATAATTCGAACTGAACATCGATAAAACTTGGGCAAAAAAGAACAAAGGAAAGATTTTGTTTGGAATCCCTCAATACCTAAATATATAATACGTTATATAGGTTCATGGTTAGTCATTTGATTTAAAATTGCTTGATTAATTGATTCTTTGCAATCTTTAAACAAGTAAATGTCACACAAGGCTATATGTATTCACAGTATATTCAGACAGCATACATGATCTGTAAGTACGGATACGTTTTAAAAATGTTATTAAAAAGAATTAGAAAATTTCATTAAGAGGTTCCCTGGCCCACCTCACTGTGGTTTTTCCTATAAACGGTAACCCCTCCACTTAAGTTCCGTTCGGATATAACAGTTTTGCTTTGACACTTCTGTTGACCCAGCTAGCTCAATCGGTTAGGGAGATAATATATAACAATCTGAAGTGTAGAGTTCAAATCCTGGCCTAGTCCCACTGATTAATTTTTACACTCGGAGCACTGTTGTTGAATAAATTTTATCAATTTTATCTTTATTATTTTTCTCATAAAAATTCTGCAAGGTATGGTTTTCTTTTCAGAAATGTTTTATCAAAGCTAAAATAATACTAGAAAAAACCTTAGCTTTCAACACTTAATTTCAGTTTTTGACAGTAGTACTACGGGGATTCTTACAATGCTATTCGGCTTTCTTGAAGAACAATACCTTGATGATATTAACGTGGTAAATATACGTACTTGATGAGGAGAGTTTTTTTGACTTTGCTGCCATTTCGGAGAAGCTTTTGTGGAGAGCTGTAAACGCACTGCCACATATTCCTTTCATAGAAAAAGAAAATCAGAAAAAAGAGAAATATTTAGTATTAATTTAAAGTATATTTTCTGATTCAGTATTCAAAATTAACATATCAGGAATACGTTTTCGCAGTAGATACAAAATTGTCACTAACAATGAAAAAATCGCTGGTGTCCTCGGAATGCCACAACCGTATAGCATTAAAGCTCGAAATAACATAATCTTTATATAATCATAGACCATAAGTTTGAAAACTGTTTCAAACTGTGTAAGACGTTATTACGACAACACTGTAAATGGACACTCACCCATCAGGAAGTGGAGTGGCAACTCGTTCTTCCCAACTGTCATCCTTCCTTTATAGAACTCGCTACCAAACTCCTCAAGCTTCACTGACGTAGCATATTTAGGCATGTGGACTTCAAAAGGAGATATCTCTACCCATTCTGAAGATGACAATAAAAAGATGATAATAATAAAATACAACGCCATTCATTCAATTTTGTTTAATATTCAGCGCGTGATCTTTTTCTGTTGTGACTACATAATGATCAAAACAAATAAACAAAGCTACATTTTGTGATGATTTTCCAAGATTAAAACAGGGGCGGACAATATACGCTTGGCATATTACAGTAGGCATTTACACTGCTTTTATTAACCCAGGAATTTGTGCAACGGACAATCTTTGGTATCTGTATACGATAGAACACCTGATCGCGACCCTCCACCAACCAAAAAGCCAAACTTTGTAATAAATGGAGCACAAGGCTCGATTTTACTCCGCCTTCCAAAGATGAAAAGATGGGTTTACATTTATGGAAGGGCATGGGAGACTAACTCCAGACAACCATTGGCTTAAAAACGAAAAAATAACAAATGAACCTAAATGGCATATTAGGGAAATATATTTATCTGGACAAAATATTGTTGACGGCCTGCCAGTCAGTCATTCAACGCTATACCATACACATTCCTTCAAAAACGGGCGTAAAAGGCTATTAACTCTTTCAGGTGAGAACTAGTGTAGTCATTAACCCAATGATCCAATTTTCTTTGAAACTTCAATAGATAGTATTTAGACTATGATAATGCATACCGTGGAACTCTTTCACAGACTTGTCCAATTTGGCGTGGACACAGGCGAGTATCGGCAGTGGACAGTGTCCATCACGGACCTTATTCTGCTGGTGACTCCATTTAGTGTGCATTGTCTGTAACGATAATCGGGTGTTGGTTTAGTTTATATATAAGTTTGACGTTGTTTGTCTTTTGACATTTTAAGTACGTCAGTACTATTTAACAGGAGAAAGAGAAAATGTAACGGCCAGACCCGGATTCGAATCCGGGATTTTCCGAACTCTAGACGAACGCTTTACCAATTGAGCTACCTGATCGCCGATGATCGACCCAGTCCAGTTCCGCAACATTCACCCCTCCTTTTCCCAAGTCTTTGCCCCCGAAGACACAACTATTTACAACCAAAATTCGGGTTTTCCCTTGCTAAGCATACCCGAATGCTTGAAACAAGGGTAGGCAAGCTCGCCGACTTTGTAACAGGTGAAAGAGGTCTACAAGCATAATGATATTAATGATCTTCTAGTAATGACACCAACACTTAGATCTCACAAAAAATGTACGTAATTTAAATCATTTTAACATGGTCTTACATCAGGTATGAGTGTCTGACCGACCCAGTATCCAAACAGGTCAGTGAACGTCCACGGCTTGCCACAGTCCTTTGTGTTGTCGTAACAATTTCGGAACGTCCGCAGGCTCATGATAGTGTCCCATAATGACTTGCCCACACACTTCCGCAGGTGGTCGTCTACTACGGAGGGGTGGACATCCGGCCAGTCGGGATTGGAACACAGCGTGGACAGGTACCTGTGTATAACGCCATGTGTTGAATATTATCATATTATCAACCCACCAACCAGACTGCAAACAAATTGGTTACTGTCAAGACTAAGAAAATAAATTTGTTACGGAGGTAAAAGCGTCTTTTGATTTATTGACATCACCGCCATTTAAATTTAGGCCAAAACCAAGTCATGTCACGCACTCAAAGCGAACACCGCAGTAGTGACAAAAAAAGAAGGCTTATCAATAAACATAACACAAAACTGTTTTAATCATTTTAGAATATAAACAAAATGATCATCAAAATAGAGTTAAGAGCTGCAACTTATAGGTACTCACCAGGCGGTCCCGGAGAGTCCGACAGTATACGTCACACAGTCCAGTATTCCTGTGTCTACCAGACCCTTATAGACTCCGCTCATACCCATCATAGCGCGAAACCCGCCTCCAGACCCAAGCACTGCTATTACAGGCAGCTAGTAATCAGACACGACATCAATTATATTAAATATATGTTAAAAATTGATTAAGACATTTTAAAGCATGTTTTCTAATCATTCATGGGACATTACAGCTATCACCCTTACCGAAGTTTTTGCTTTTGACAATTAAGTTAATATATTTTGCTACTCAAGAACCTGTTGTAAGTAATATGATATTTTTATATATGTAGGTGTGTCTTGTTGAGCAATTGATCACTTTATCAGGTTATCTCATTCAATGTGACCTAATCGCTGGATATATATTTAATGTTTCGTGGGTGATTGGCAAACTTTCTTAATTGTTGTTTTGAATAGCATATATTGTCTTTGTGTGCTAACAGTTTGATATGTTTTTATCACTTGTGTTTTGTAACTGTTTCATATTTTGACTTTTTGTATTGCGCCTTGGTAAATTTTGTTTTGTATGGCGATGCTGTAGTAAAAACATGTTGATGCTGCGGTTTATTTTGTCATTGTGTCTTAATGATATCTTTTCTATCTTAATTCGTATATTTGTCTTTGTGTGCTGACGCTATTCATTAGAAAAACAAAATATTTTGTATCTTATATCGACGCTATTTTTATATTCATTATTTCATTGTCGAACCATACATTTAAACACTGATTCTCCCTTAACACACTTACTCGTTCCAAATCAGTTTTGTCGTGCCCGAATAGTTTCTGTAGTGCTCTACGTACAACTGGACATCTTGCTCTTCGGAAGTCCTCTTCCCCCTGACACAGTTCCGATCCTGAACGAAGGTTCGATGGGAACCTATTTAAATTAAGACATTTGTTAGCTGTGCTTATGCTAGGTAAATAAAACCGTCTATGTGTCGTTTATATGACGTAGTTTGTATACTAGTTTTAAAAGTATGAATAATGCCATAATATGCTTATTGTGAACTGCTTTGCTTCTGTTAACAAATGTTTCGAGGTATAGTCAGGAGTGTGATATAGGTGGCGTACAGGATGGTGCTATCGGTTATGTGTTTTTATACTTACTGTTTACAAGATATGTCAACAGATAGAGTTGCACTCTGAAAAAAAATGAATATCATTGATGAGTAAGATTTCAAATTACATCAACCATGATAAAATGCTTTGAATGACAGTAACCCAAAATTAAAATTCAAGATTAGAAAGAGGTATTGAATTTTATTTTCAGTCCCAGATGAACAAGATCTATAAAGACAGGAATAAAGGTACATTGTTTAAAAAACTTAACTCCTTGATACAGGGACACATGTACGAGGAACAGGATTTTCCAGTTATTTTAAATAAATAAAAACTATGCTCTGTCAAAAACATGGAAGAAAATGGGAAGACTAAAAGCCGATTACTGTTTTCAATGTTTACACGTAACCTTTTGACAGCGTTTAATGAATTAACGAGTAACAAGAATTAGGCTTGAGCACAGAATGCATGCTTAATGATGAGATTATTTGGAATGAATACGGACCAAAGTCTCTAGCAATGAAGAAAGGACATGATCATCCAAAACTACCTCGGAGGCGACATCAGGTGCTCGCTCGAAAAAGGAAAAAATCTGTATTATTCTTGAGATCAATGTCATTAAACAGACAATACCTGATTTAGTTGGATTTCTTTCGGCGGCTGTCGGAGTTCACAAGTATACTCTCCATGAACTCCATCAATAAGCGTGTTTTTCTCTTTGACCATGATTTCTGTGGAAAAAAGCCCCAATAGTTTGTTCAGTATTGCCTTAGTACTGTGCTACCAAACAAGTTTCCGTAAACTTATTTCATTCCAGATATATGACATAGTACTGTATCCAACATCAAGGTTACCTGATTACTTGAGGATATTTCTTACTTCGTAGGCTCTTCTTTACCCGATGGTATTTACTTTTCTTGTTGGAACTCGTGTGCGGACAATTCCGTCTTTGCGTATTGCAGTTATCTTCTCTTTGGAGCAGGTATTGATTGTTACGTCATTGGTTTGTGAGAGAAAATTACGTCGTTTTCTCAAAAAAAGATGACGTTACTCTCATAAATAAGTGACGTAACAATCAATACCTGCTCCCAAGAGAAGATAACTCTGCAATACGCAAAGACGGAATAGCAGAAGTCCAACATATGACTAACACACACTTATAGCAATAAAATATCTTCCTTATGATAGACAAACTAACAAGTTTATAAATTGCCATGTCTTACCCCTGATTGACAAACTTCCAAGTTTTTACCGAAGGTAGACGAACTAACAGTATTCAACTTTACAAGATCTAACCCCTGAGAGACAAACTGAAACCATAATGCTTTATAAGGCCGTACATATGATAGACGAACTTATAACATTATACATTAGAAAGTTTTATTAGAGGTACTCAAACTAAAAGTATTTATACTTTACAAGGTCTAAACTATGATAAATCAACTTAAAACACAATACTTTATAAGGTCTTACATAATTTGTGGTAGACAAACTAATAAAAGTATACATTAGACAATTTTACCTGTGGTAGACAAACTAATACAATTATACATTAGACTAGTTTACCCGTGGTAGACAAACTAATACAATTATACATTAGACAATTTTACCCGTGGTAGACAAACTAATACAATTATACATTAGACTACTTTACCTGTGGGAGATAAACTAATACAATTATACAGTAGACTATTTTACCTGTGGTAGACAAACTAATACAATTATACATTAGACATTTTTACCTGTGATAGACAAACTAACAACATTATACATTAGACAATTTTACCTGTGGTAGACAAACTACAGACCCGTACACGTTCGCTGTTCCACTTTCAGCGTACCGTTTGCGTAGCATTTCCGTACCGTTTGCGTAGCATTTGCGTATCACTTGCGTAGCATTTCCGTAGTACTCCCGTACCATTACCGTAGCATTTCCGTAGCACTTGCGTAGCGTTTCCGTAGCACTTCCGTATCGTTTCCGTAGCATTTGCGTCTACATCTTTCATTTAAAAAGCGTTTGGGAAACGTTCGGTCGAAAATTTTACGGAATATATATTTGTCGAAACCAATTGTAAAAAAAAAAAATCATTATCAACCGCATTACCTGAAAATTATTCCAACTATCATAATAGTCTGAAGAACCCCCCCCACAAAAATGACGGTTTACACATACATGAACGTAACAGCCCTCCTCCCATGGGCCTACTGTGTGTTCCCCACACCAGCAGCTAGGCCTTAGGGGTAATTTAAATAACAGGCATACAACTGGTCATGTGGTAATGACCTGTCCCTTGTTTAAGGTATAAACAACTTTAGTGACCGTTATAAAGGTTGTTAGGGCAACATGGCCACCCGCTGACAGATACTTTTCTTTCAATATGATATCTATATACCTGAGAATATTGGCAGTGATAATGCATTGACCATTTACCTGTGATCACATTGGATTCTGATGTGCTGTACCTGATCAAGGTCACATTCTGTGATTTCAAGGCAATTAGTCCATGACAATTAATCCAGTTCATTGTCTATCCATCACGTACAGCTGTATACAGGTAAATCAGTTCAAAGTAAAACCTACAGGTAAGATACTTTGGCTGTCCCTCGATCTGGACCCCGGGCACAATTTCATTTCACAACAGTGACTTAACCAAGGTAAACTAATATTTTACTTGGAATTCCTAATTTGATAAAAAAGGTCCCTTATTAGAATATTTAACATCTCACGTAGATGATTTGTTTTAAAACTAATCTATTTTTTTTTAAAAATAATCTATCATGAGTTCTGTTATCTGTGAGCAAGGTTGAATACTAACCCTAATACGTAACAAACTTTTCTTATCAGATTATTGAAAATGATGATATTTTTCAGTTATCATTAAAAAATCATTATGAAGATAACTTTATTGTCATCATGTGACCGAGTTCCTGAGAAAATAGAGTGTGCTTCCTTGTTGTCTATAGCAGAGACGTATATATTACAATACGTCTCTGTCTACAGTTAGTTTGTTAACGAGGTGTGGTAATTATAAAGGTGTCAAAAATCAGTCAAGCGGTTCCAGGCTAGTGTACCTATGAACTTACATGGTTCAATGAAAAAGATAATTGACCTTTTACAGCTGACCAATTAGTACTACTTAGCGCCTTTGGCAAGTTACACAGTGGACAGTATATATCAGAGGCTGGGATTAACCTGGCCTAGGGTATATTTGGGAAAATTAAATCAACGACAAGATTTATTAATTAAATAAAGAAAGGTTTATTGAATTTTTTAGAGAAGAATGTGCAGAAAAAAATAGAATATCCTCAAAAGATTTTTTTTTATAGATATATTTACGATCATTTGGTCTACAAAACTACCTGCGAAAACCGATACAAAAAGAATATCTGAAAGAAATAAAAAAAAATCTCCTCATAACTTCAAATTAGAAAAAGGGCGATATCAAAACATTGAATCGTCGAATGTGTAATTTAGATGATGTTGAAGATCATGTCGTTCTGATTTGCGAGCAATTGTTTTGAAAACTATTGTATTAAAAAGAACAAGCATGTTTAACTTGAAAGGATTATTGAGTGTGAAAAATACAAAAGAAATAACGAACTTAGGGAAATATATAAAATTTGCAAATTCGAGAAGAACCTAATTATTATAAATAGATATAGATGCACTTGTAAATGTGTTGTGAGTGTGTGTAATGTTGTGTAATGTTATTTTGTATTTTGCACAGTTAATATCAGAAATGTTGTTACTTTGTAACTGGTGAGTCGAACGACTCAAAGTAATAAAGAACTTGAACTTGATGCCACTCATCTATTGTGGCGTTGTCTATAAAAAGTCTGAAATATTGTAGCCCTTGCACTTATATGTATTGAGCACAGACAAACAAAATGTTATGTAGTTTTGCCACTCATCTATTGTGGCGTTGTCTATAAAAAGTCTGACAACGGTCAGAGACGTATACTTTAAAGCAAACATTTTCACTTGATGTTGTGTGCGGTACCAGTGTGGAACTAGAGACAAGAGATTGTGAGCATTCTCACATAAATATACATGTATATCCCCCCCAGGGAAAAATGTTATAAATGAGTGATAAATGTATCTATTAAATAAACCCCTCCCCCTACCCACACCCTTTTACTTTGCTCTACTCTACCATGACTAATTGCCCCCTGGACCCTGATCAGAAAGCTATCGCCCTTATTAGCCCACACCCTCATTGATCCACGCCTGTTTAGGTACAAACGTACATGTACAAACGGAGAAATACATATTGTAGATATATTGAAGTTTGACTGTGGTCTCAGTCCCTATGTTATCTGACATCATACCCCTATACCCTCTGCAGTACACACCCCTCAGGGTGTGCCAGACAGTCATTGTTTCTCCATCCAGGATTCAGACAGGATTTACCTGTAGAAAAGGCAGTATAGATACCTACATTTTTAAGGTCGATAAAGAAAACCTATATTCTTATTAGAAAGTTTACTTACTTTCAATATTAATTAGTCTTTTATTTGGTAAGCACGTGGAAATACTTCTGACCATAACTTATTATCATCTGTGTGTCGCGTTGATCTGTTAGCGTACGTCAGGTCTCTGTGATTGATATATAACATGTACCAATATTTGATCGACTTTTATCTTTATAAATCACGAGACATTTCTGTTTGTTTCACACTCATCCATTATGCAAACGAAATGGCAAAATTTAAAACATTCTTATGTGCCTCCTCGTAGCCTACAGTTTAATGACGTTTCTTCCTATGCATTGTGGGTATATTCGTTTCGTTTTAGCTATTTTATATGCTTCCGCTTTTTATGTAAACCCGTTCTTGTCACCACAAACGATTATTCACCGTTTGTAAGCGTCATCCGTAGCACTTCCGTACCGTTTGCGTAACACTTCCGTACCGTTTACGTAGCACTTGCGTACCATTTGCGTCCAAGGTGGAACAGCGAACGTGTACGGGTCTGTAATACAATTATACATTAGACAATATTACCTGTGGTAGACAACCTAATACAATTATTCATTAGACAATTTTACCTGTGGTAGACAACCTAATACAATTATTCATTAGACAATTTTACCTGTGTTAGACAAACTAATACAATTATACATTCGACTATTTTACCCGTGGTAGACAAACTAATACAATTATACAATAGACTATTTTACCTGTGGTAGACAAACTAATACAATTATACATTACACAATTTTACTTGTGGTAGACAAACTAACAACATTATACATGAGACAATTTTACCCGTGGTAGACAAACTAATACAATTATACATTCGACTATTTTACCCGTGGTAGACAAACTAATACAATTATACAATAGACTATTTTACCTGTGGTAGACAAACTAATACAATTATACATTCGACTATTTTACCCGTGGTAGACAACCTAATACAATTATTCATTAGACAATTTTACCTGTGGTAGACAAACTAATACAATTATACATTAGACAATTTTACCTGTGGTAGACAACCTAATACAATTATACATTAGACTATTTTACCCGTGGTAGACAAACTAATACAATTATACATTAGACTATTTTAGCCGTGGTAGACAAACTAATACAATTATACATTAGACTATTTTTACCTATGGTAGACAAACTAACAACATTATACATGAGACAATTTTACCTGTGGTAGACAAACTAACAAAATTATACATTACACAATTTTACTTGTGGTAGACAAACTAACAACATTATACATGAGACAATTTTACCCGTGGTAGACAAACTAATAACATTATACATTAGACAATTGTACTTGTGGTAGACAAACTAATAACATTTTATATTAGAAAGTTGTATCAATGTTAGACAAACTATTACAATTATATATTAGACATTTTTACCTGTGCTAGACAAACTAATAACATTATACACAAAAAGGAGAACATGTGGTAGACTAACTAATAAAATTATACATTAGACTAGTTTACCCGTGGTAGACAAACTAATACAATTATACATTAGACTATTTTACCTGTGGTAGACAAACTAATCACATAATACATTAGAAAGTTTTACTAGTGGTAGATAATGAAATTATTTATACTTCACCAGGTCTTACCTATGATAAATAAACTTATAACCAATAAAGTCTTACTTATATCTGGATTGTCTTGAGTGTCTTGAGTTAGTGTGAATGTCTTAGTCTCATTAAATACAGGATTCCTGTCGTTCCAGTGGACTTCTGTTGTGTGTAGTTTCTCCACGGTCTGTTGGCAGTGCACCTCGACATATGAATCAGGAACATCAACTGCACACACAATAACATATTTCACATACAAACATAGACATGTTAGGTCAGGATTACTTATATATTGTAGACTAATATATATCATTTTAAATTTAGAAAAATATTATAGTTTTGTCTAAGTCTTCTTGTCTGTGTTATTAGCGTTTCAAAAAATTCAATTTGAAGTTAAATTCTTAGGAAAGGGAATGCGGTCTTTTGACTCATCAGAAGTCTCGTTGATATTTTGATATTTCATTCCCTAAAAGATTGATCATACGTATTAACAAGAGTTTTGGACAACATGCTCTCTGAATACAATTTTATGGGTAAATAAGTAAAAAGTAAAAGTTGACATTCTTATTCCTGCCTAGCATTAGTAAGTACCTGAAAATTATCAAATTATATCTCCATCATTTGTATCAATTAGATTGTCTCCTTTTCATGTTTAGGCAACATCAATACAAGTTTTTTTTATTAATGGAAAATTCCTTTCTTATAACTATTAATTAAATTAAGTAAAAAAACAAACTACAAGTTATTGATTTTTTTGATTTTATGAAAATAACGATTTTTTTTAAGCAAACGAAGACAAGAGTATTTACGCAAGTTGTTTTGTTTAGAGGTTGTACAAACTGATTTATGATACTATTTCCATCATCAGAAATAGTGTGACAGCTCGTTGCGTGTAAGGACAGTTCATTATCTAATTCCGGCTTAGCGCGTACCGGAACTGTACATCAACACAGGAAGTATAATCCACTTCACCAAGAATTGTCCATCAGTCAATCACTTTCTAACTGAGGGTATATATTTTGTCGATTATCTTCTTTATTGTTACAAGACGCTTTGAAACCTTGCCAACTGTTTCTGTGCCGTGTTTAGTTACTTAGTATACTTATAATTAGTATGTAGATACAAGCAGAAACGTAGCTACACGACCAATGAGCATTTCGTTTTTCTAAGTATGTATATCTATCTTATTACGTACGTATAATGTAGCTATACCATCAACGAGTTTCTAGTGTTACAACTTATGTAGATTTAGGTTGATGTGAAGTTAAGGAGTATCTGGTTTTCCTTAGCATGTAGATACAAGCAGAAACGTAACTACGCGACCAATGAACATTTAGTTTTACTAAGTATGTATATGTATGTTATTACGTAGTTATATCATCAACGAGTTTCTAGTGTTACAAGTTATGTAGATCTAGGTTGATGTGAAGTTACAGGCTCAAGCAGTATCCGGTTTTACTTAGTATGTAGATACATTTCGATACGTAGCTTCATACGTAGCTACACGACCAATGAATATCTCGTGTAACTAAGTATGTAGAGCATGGTTTGGTTTGATTTGGTTTTATTACGTTTACCGTCCTATTAACAGCTAGGGTCATTTAAGGACATGCCTCCATGTGTGTTGTGTATGCGTGCATGTGTGTATGTGTGCAGGAGACAGGCTTTGTCGGTGTACTTGCCTCCTTATGATAGTGCGGACCTGATGCCGAATTTATAGTGCTATCTCACTGAAATACCATGCCGAAGGAACCCAGCACAGCATTCCGCCCGGCAACATTATAATGACAACGGGTGAACCAGTTGTTGTCATTACTCTAAATGCTGAACGTTAAGCAGGGAATAACAACTACCATTTTAAGGACTTTGGTATGTCTCGGCCTGGGGACAGAACCCATTCCCTTCCTCACATCGGCGAACATTCAACATTAAAGCCAGAAGCCAGCCAAGCAAGGCGCTAGGAAATAAAGGGTAGATAGAAGAAAAAAGAAAGATAAAGATCCAAAATGCTGCAATGGGTGCAGCAGATTTATTCTGGTTACTTTTGTGTCCCCAATTAGAGGGCACAGAAACAAATCCCCAATTCTGCAGGGGTTCTCCCGTGAGTCGCCTCTTACGATATACATGTATGCAGTGGGTAACAGCAGGTGTATTCTTTTCTTATTCTCCAACCTGTAGTGGTGGTAAAGCATGGAAACGTTGCTAAACGATCAATGAGTTTCGAGTACAACTAACTTTATGGTATACATTGATTTCTGGGCTGACTTGTATAAATTAGAACTAGCATAATAATATTACTTTGGTATTCATTTCCCACAAGAAAATATGATATTTCCAGTGAGATCCTAATGGCGGTCATAAAACAAGCAAATATTTCCCATCAATATGCATCTGTCGAAATCAAGTGTTGTTGTCCCTCAGAATTCGAAAAATATCACAGATGTCGTGATATTTCGAGTAAGTCGAGAAATATCGAATCATCGGCCGAATGCTAATACTACATGTGGGGGAAAAAGAATGCATCCATCAATAAAGGGATATTAAGATAGTAAAATCAAAAGTGTCATTTTGCTTTTACCTCCCTTTGAAAATCACTGTCAGAAAGTTCCTTAAAACAGCACTCCCTACACTTACGTTTGTCGTACCATCCATTGTGGAGGCCAGTCGCCTTCTTCACATTCACCTCAAAGCCCTCCATCTGTCGTAAGTTCGGCTAAATATTGTAGAAAAAGACACTCATTGAAATATTAATGGTAAGTAAGACTTATCGTTATATTTTATCCATAGATTATATAGAATTTGTATGTTGAAGCAGTCTTATTTGGTATTACATCAAAGAACATTTACCTATAGCAGCACGATATTGATAAATAACGGTGATGATTTAATTTTCTCCCATAACTCTTTGGATTAACCTGCTAGGTAATGGTAAAAATGTTTGGTTACGCACTAGTAGGTAACACCCCGGAAGTGATTTCATTGGTCAATCTTCTAATATTGACGTCAACTGCCGATACTATGCGACGTCATCCTCCCCTACGACGTCATAGTATAGAAACAGGATTATGTATCCCAAGAGAAACAATTCGATTTTTAGATATAACATCTGAAAGTTGTAGTGAAAACAGTCCCTAAAATCGTAATAGTTGATTATCATGTTTATCAAACTCTCGTTTGCTATTTTTCAGGTAAACCTCGTGTCTTTATACAATTTGAAACTTAACTATCTCACGTTATATAAACATGATGAGCAACCATCACTCGTTGGGAAACTTCTAAATGCAAGTAAATAATAAAGGAAGTAATGAATATATAACATTGAATATAACAGGAAATACTTAATATATAACAGGAACTAGTTAATAAATAGGAGTAAATGCTTAATATGAAACAGAAAATTATTAATATATACCAGTGAAAACTAAATATATATCAAGAACTAATCATTGTGTAAAAAACATAACACTGAGTACGCAATTTATAACAGAAAGAATTTATTTAATAATAACCTAAATAGCTTTTATAAAACATTCCTTGTAGTAATTAACACATGCTCAGCTAGAAGTCAAGTGAACTATCACAGTCATGTACATATATAATAACGTTATAGCTGTCTGCTTTCGTGTTCGAGTATGAATTGTGGTATATACGAACCTTGTATGTCTGAACATGCTGAGATCGGTTATCCAGTTCTTTACATCTGTAAGAATATTATGTGGTAAGTAGTATTTATCATTGTGCCACAGAGGGGTCTAGTTATAACATACAACGTCATGAATAAAAATAACTATTCGAACCTTTAGTTAATGAATTTGATCAAAACGTTGTGTTTCAAAAGAAAATACAATTTGGAATATATTCAGGCAAAACACACCAGGTATGTGTCTATGAGCTTTCAGTCAAGTCAACATCATCGCTGAAGATCAGCTAACCGGTATCATGCATCTCTTAAGCAGTGTATTTTCATTTCAAAATATTTTATTAAATCAATCAAATTTAATGGGAATTGGGTAACATGCAAAGCCTATACAAGCCCTCTCCCAGGAGGTACATCTCGAACAATAGCAATATAATGAACTATTAATATTTACATAATGATAGCAGTGTATCGTTGACGCTGGCAACTTACATACTATATGCATTGTACCAGGAAATATTTGCCGCAATTTAACTTCCGTTTCCTGACATGAGGGCGAACTTAAATCACTTTAGTATACCACACATTATATAGCATGCATAGCAAATAAAATGAAAAGGACAAGTAAACATGAATGTAATCGGTATATGCAATATTTGAAAACGTCAGGTATACATTAGTAATTTGGACAACAATACTTTGATTGATGACGATTAAATCATTTTCATTTCAAAATATTGTATTTAATCCATCAGATTTAATGGGAATTGGGCAACAGGCAAAGCCTATACAAGCCCTCTCCCTGATGGTAAATCTCAAACAATAGCAATATAATGAACTATGAATAGAATTAGATCAGTATCAATGAAGATAGGAGACACCATACGTACACGCATGTATATAATACATACATGCACAAACATGCATACACGCATGCATACATGCATGCTGAACATGCATGCATGAACACGCATGTACACACATGCCTACATACATACATACACATATACATGCATGTATACATGCATGCATGCAAACATAACGTTCAAAATCTGTTGGTTGATTCTATATATCTCTGAACACGAACACCAATAGCAGAATTGAAAATCTTCACCGAGGAAACTACTTCCTTTAGTCAGTGTATTAACATTAAACATTAAATGTTCATAAAGGTTTAGGTCCAAATTTAAGTGTGAATTTAAATTGATGTCAAGCTGTAAATGAGACAGAGATATTATCATATTTTGTCTTTGAGTCATGTATCTAGGGCAATGCAGAAAGAAGTAACTCACATCTTCATTATTACAACCACATATACAAGAGGGATTATCATTAAGATGGTATCTACAGAGATCAGAGTTCAATAATGATTATAAAATGATTAATGCAGTATGCAATCGGTCATGCGGGAGCACCCGTGAACCGACCGTGTACCAATTAACAATCAATGCCCGGGTGTATAACAAGTATCAACCCCAAAACTGTTTAAAAAATAAAATCTACGAAGAGTAATAAATAATGACCTTAACTAATGTGCGACTACAGGGCTCGTCGAACGTAATACGAACAAAACAAGAGTTCCATTACTATCTTCCAGTACTACTAAACTCTGTATTATTATAACAGTTGATGACACTGAAATTGACTTTTTACTTATCATAAACATAGGGATATATCGCATATAGAAAATACTTTTTTTCTAAAATATTCGACAATTAGGAGCAACTCCAGAACCGAAATATAGACTAAGTAGGAACACAATTCTGGTATAAGAATGAGAGGTCTAGGGTCGTTGTTCAAAAAATGATGCTGAGTTGCTACAACAGTACATTTAGAAGCAGTACGAACATTGAAAGGAAAAGTCATTGATGAAATATTTTACAAGCATCACTAGCAGAGCAGACATGCACCTATTAAATTGCATTTGTGCCAATGAAGAAGTATGTTTTGTTTTTTGTTTGTGAAAAAATCGTAATGCTATGCTAGCAGAAATATGCAGAAACGCATAGATAAACCCGTAAAAACCCCGAATTTCTTCTACAAGATATTCATCAGACTAGTCCCTATATAAATGACCTTATCCCTCCTCATGCAGAATTTTGTTTTAAATCCAAGAACTGCAAGCATCTTTACCATTCCATTGAATAGACTTAACATCTAGTTCTGTTCCCCTTCACTATAAGACTTTAGAATATGCTTGATACAAAAAAACATCCATCACCAATGATTTCTATGACAGTTTTCCTAAGGAATGTCCTGTTTCTAAATACCGATATACTATAACAGTGTATCCCGTGAACCAAACACCCTTCTGACAAGACATATTCATGATTTATTAAGGGCATGTCGTCGGCAACTCTAAGATGACATTGTGGAGAATCAAGTACATTCGAACGAACAACAGTTTGTGATGGAATCAAATCGTTTCTCCTAGGTTCACTTCACTCTGACTTTCTTTTTCTTCAATGACCAATTTAGAGACGTATATCTTTATAGCAGTTTCCTTATTTATCTTTACAACTGTAATGATCATATTTTAGTGAAGCGCACCTCAATAAGTATGTAACCTTTTGGCCAATACCGTTGCAATGTATGGCAATAAAATAAAATATATTTAAACTAAAGAATTTAACTTAATTTTATCAATGGTGTTGTTTTGCACTGACACCATATGCATTTTGTAACGTTTTATTCCGTACTTGCGTATTGCATAGTTATCTTCTCTTGTGAGCAGGTATTGATTGTTACGGCATTGGTTTGAGTGAGAAAATTACGCCGTTTTCTCAAAAACTGATGACGTTACTCTCACAAACAAATGACGTAACAATCAATACCTGCTCACAAGAGCAGATAACTCTGCAATACGCAAAGACGGAATTGACCCGTAAGCCACTTCATATTCATAATTATATATATATAAATACGTTACGCTATAATTTCTTCAGAAATACATATGGCAGTGGTGGTAAGGCATGTTTATATATATATACATATATTGTCATACTTACTTGTGTTTTTCATGATTCTTGCCCGTCATGTCAGCCATTCTTCAATGATCACTAGATATACGAAGAAAGAAAGCACCTATTCAAAACTTTTGTTTGTAGATGAAGAAAACAAACATAGTAAACATCTTATTGTACCCTATAGTCATTTCGTACATTCATGATCCACTTTAAGTCCAAAGAACGGAAAATCCTGGGATAAACTATTCCGCAACACAGGGAAAACAAAAAAGTGTATATAAAGTATTTTATAACGGAAGAATTAAAGCTAATTTACCGTACAATAATGTTACAAATTTAGCTTTTTTCGCTTCTACAATATCATTACACTTTAACTAGTTTTTCATGTGCATCATGCCAATATAAATTCCAGCTACAATGTTACAGACAACTTCGGGGATTGATGATAGTTCAGCCGGTAGAGTCCACAACCAGGTGAAATTATAACGTAACGTACTTATATTAAAATTGTTATTTTTTACCAAAACCATTCCTTTTTTCTTTAATATAACACATTGATATTTAGCATAGAAATATAATATATATGGTGCTAACTTTTATAAAAATAAATATCCTAAACTGCATTGAAATAATATATAGATAAATAAACGATAACATAGAACTTTGCTTTTTACTAGACTTAGGTGTTAGCTCAAAGAAAAATATCGTTTCTTAAATCTTTTATGAAATCTGAAGGAATGCAGTTTTGATCTATTCGTTTATATTTATTTTGAATTTGTGCTGAATTCAAAAATATTTTTTATGTGAAAAACTAACTTACAGTAACTAAAACCCGATCTGATATATGTTTTCTCTCGTGTGTTTTGGGCCAGATCATACACTACGTCGTTGTTATACCCACGTAGTTTAAATTTGATTGGGAATAGAACTGTTATACTTCTGTGAAATGACAATAAAAATAGCAAACTTTAACTTTATTTTATACGCTGAGCGGAATTCTATTGATTGTACACCTGATATTACCACAATGCCCAGAGCGTCCTTTACCGACATTTAAATCCTTCTATCAAAAGTACCCTTTTTACAAGTTAGGTACTGTCTGAGACTGTGCAGTCGATACAAGTGACCTATGGTTTTGTTATTGTTAATTTTAATAAAATTATTGTCATGTTCTGAATATATATATGTATTGCCTAAACATATCAAATAACAATTACATAAAATATATGTACAACTTCATTTTAAACATGAATATCTTCAATAAACATAATTAAACTTCATCAAATATAACGTCCACTTCATTAGATATATTTAACTTTATGAAATGCATTAGTAAGCATAAAAATATAAATAACTTTATCAAATGAATGCAATTAAACCAAAAAGCAAAGTTTTTTTGTTTTTTTTAAATCAGACAAAAATATTAACTTCAATTTTTTGAAGTTAGAAACCACATAGAGATATATAATTGAATACCTTTAATTAAGAGAAACTCAAATATTGAAATTTTGAATTTAAAAAAAAGTCAAAAAACATCTTTTTCATAAATAATAACATCCGTTAACGATATTATTGTTTGCACAGACATCAGCAGCAATGCTATCATATATCCAAAGTGGAGTGAAGGATGTGTACCTACCGCCTCTAGTGGTGTCACGCTACGACTGTATCTACGTCCGTATGTAAGCTAAAAACATGCCAATCCCATTCACCCTTCCCTGGTGGATTTCTACTGAACAGGGCACATTTCACTTAAGTTTTCTAAATATATTTCAGCTGTACTTACCCATGGTTGACGTCATAAATAGGTCATTATAGTTTCTCTTAGTATCTCTCCCCCTACCTCATAATAATATACAGTGATGTAAGATATACGGAAGTAATTAACCCAAGCGGGTCCTCGTTGTCCAATAACGTTTCAGTCGTCTACTGTCTATTTGTGATCGCATAGCAACTTGTTTTTTTCACACTAAAGCAAGCCGATTCAATGTTTATCATGGCACCAATGTCGATCCAGTGTTCCGTTAAATTGGTGTATTGAATATATGATATATATATTAAATGAGCCATCGTATTAAGTATATGATATATCTTTTATAGTATTCAATATATGTCATTTGATTTCTATATATCATATATATAGATATTTTCTGCATAATTTTATGAAATACAGAATCGACATAGCTCTATGAATGTTTTATTAGGTTGACTTGTCATACCATATTTCTGTAATAAAGTGGAATTATAGTTACATGAAAACATTGTTATGGAAAAACAAAACAAACCAAAAAAAGCAAAATTATATATATGTTTGAATTCATTTACATGTCTATTAAACTTAATGACTTAGTGAGAAAATCAACTAAATAATATTATTTGGATTAGCGCCCTATCTAGCTAGAATAAAGCGCTTTATAGTACATAGATATACAATGTATACAGTCATTACAATTAGCATATACATTAATCAATACAATTTTGAGAAATTCGCACAGGCGCTAACTTCTAGTCCTTTGCCACCTGGCTAATATCTCCCTATGTGTGTATTGTGTTATGTTTGTAGTGGTACTGTTTTTCGACTTGTTCTCTGTGACCTTGTTTAGGACTCTTAGTTTAAGAATCTTCCAAGATAACCCTCCTCATTGTAATTTAAGCAGTACTTCAGTTATGGGCGGATTGGTTACAGTAACACTCCGGCCTTCCACGCAGGAGGTCGGGATTCGATCCCAGAAGTCGTCGTACGCATGGAGTATTCAGAAAAAGTGTTTTTCTCCTGCCCACATAACTCCAACAACCCAGTTGGAGTATAAATTGGTCTGGGGTGGATATTGCGGTATCTGTGCAGTAGCATTCAAGTGAGGTGACACTATAAATGATACCGTTGGAAGCACGGTCCCACTACAAACAGAACACAACACAATACATCTCCAGCACACACACAGGCATACACACATAGGGAGATATTAGCCAGGTGGCATAGGACTAGTAGTTAGCGCCTGATAAGGCAGCTCCTGCGAATTCCTCAATATTGTATTGATTAATATATATATGCTAATTGTATTGACTGTATAAAATTGTATATCTATGTACTGTAAAGCGCTTTAGAGTGGCTTAGGTTAGCTAGATAGGGCGCTATATCAAATGTTGTATATTTATTTAGTTTATTTAAATAGATTCATGGTAGAAAAAAAATAGTATACATTGAATCATGGGGAAAACATTAAAAGGAATCATTAAACAAAAGATTTAAAGTGGCATCATTGAAGGCGAATGAGGTGAAGGAATTCACGGTAGACAAAACAGATAACATATATTTATCATGGACAAAGAGATTAAATGGAAAAATGGTAGACAAAGAAAGTAAAATGGACTCATGGAAGAAAAAAAAAAGTAAAATGGACTCTGGCAAACAAAGGAAGTAAAATTGCCCCATGGCAGACATGGAAAGTAAAATGGACTCATGGCAGACACGGAAAGTAAAATGGACTCATGGCAGACACGGAAAGTAAAAAGGATTCATGGCAGACACGGAAAGTAAAATGAACTCATGGTAGACAACGAAAGTAAAATGGACTCGTGGTAGACAAAGGAATAAAATGGACTCATGGAAGACAAAGAACTACAAGGACACAAGGAAAACAAAAGAACTAAAATGAATCAAGAAAGACAAAAGATTTAAAATGGAATCATGCTTAACAAAAGATTTGTAATGATATCTATGTATACTAAAGAAGTAAAGTGGAATCAAAGTGGACAAAAGAGCTAAAACGAAACAAGGTAGACAGAAGTTTTGAAATGGACTTGTTGTAGACAAAAGAGGTCGAATGACACCATTGGCAGGATAAATCAATAAATCAAACAAACTTAGAAGCTGTGTGCGAGTCCAATGGCGGCGGACCTCCATCTGTAACCAGGGAAGCCCCTGGTTATATACCCACCATATCCTCTCTCCTACACCAACGTTCACCCAAAATTAACATACCCTCACAGACCTGTACTAAACATATAACACAGAGTTGACCACGACTGCAATCCAACACACACCATGTGTATCAATGATGTGTCAAATTTCTCAATTTATTGTCTCGAAATATAGGTAATCAAGAGACAAACAATCAACGTAAATTTAGACGAGTTTCTGTGTCTTGCAAAGAACGTTAATTCACAGACATCTCTTGTACAAGTGTAGTGAACAACCCTGCTCTCTTGATGGATATAACATGCGCTATGTGTGCGCGTCCTAATGAAAAACACATGTTTTACAAGGGAGGTAAGTACTGCCTCTGTCAGATACATATAAAGAAGCTCGAGTGATGATGGATATACAGAATATTCTGATGAATATTAACAATATATTATAAAGATATGTCAGTAAGTAAGCTCTGGTTACAGAACCTAAATACAGCAAAGTTTGTTGTCTCAATTAACTAATTAATCAATTAATTGTTTCAATAAGTTTTTGCAGAGTTTTGTAGTATTTTTTCATGTAGTGATAACATGTGTACCAGGTAGATGTAGTGATAGTATTTGCATATCCAACCAAAATATTTGCATATGTAGTGATAGTATTTGATAGTATTTGCCTAAATAGTGATAATATTTGCTTAGATATTGAATGTATTTGGATATGTAGTTTTAATTTTTGGACATACAGTGAAAATATTTCCAATGCGTGGATAATATTTGCATATACATGTATAGTGATAATATTTGCAGATGTAGTGAAACTATTTGAATATATATTGATAATATTTGCATATATATATATATTGATAATATTTGCATATATATTTATTGATAATATTTGCATATATATATATATATTTATTGATAATAATTGCATATGTAGTGATAATACAAGTAGATGTAGTGATAATACACGTATATGTAGTGATAATATTCTTATATGAAGTGACACTATTTGTATATATGGTGATAATTTGATATCACAAAATGCTTATAACTTACAATGTAATACTGTTCGATTGGTACAAAATTGGATAACATTTTAAACAGGTGGTCATTTTGAAGTTGGTCTATATTAGAAATATAATAAGTGCAGAAGCCATATTAAAGTTACAAAGACATTTTCTTATCGACTAACGTGAATAATTTGGTGCTTATGTGTAAGTACGTCCTATTTAAATTCATAAAGTTATCCTCGGGGAAAAAAATCAAAATGAGACATCCGTCGCCTATAACAGGATTCTAGCTTATAGTAGATTATATACCGTCAAGCAAGAGTGTACCGATACAAAGGTATTGCGTTAAGGCTTGTAACTAAGTAAATGGTGAAGATACTATCCAGAATAATACTGATGTATATGTTTACCTCTCACACAAAATGTTGAACTATTTTGATATGTGTGCTGTACGTTATGAACATGTACATATCTGTGTTAACGTTTAAATTTTTGGTGACGGGGTTTGCCTCCAAATGAATTTGGGTTTAGTTTCAAATAAAATTTACCGTTGTTTACCTCTTTGTGCAGATCAGGGAAATTCAGAAAATTACAATACTCATATTAACAAGAGGGATCTTGGCACCCAACATCGTACCATCTTTATTAGTTCTGTCAGTTCGAACTTTTCGCTTATCTGTTTGATCAGTGAGCCTGTCCGACATCTTTATCAGTCTTTTGATCACCCTCCAAATTTAACTTGCACGACTAAGGACCGAAGGGAACCTACATATCAAATTTGAGAAAGATGCTTCCAGTACATACTGAGAAATAGCGACCACAAACTTAAACTGTAAAAAGATGGCCGCCGGTGCGCATCGTAGTGTTCAGATCAGTCCAACAATTTGATATGCATAACTAAGAACCAAGACTTACATGTGAAATTTGAAACAAGAGAGGCCCAATGGGCCTGCATCGCTCACCTGGTATAAATCTCACATTTGTATTCACAAAAGTGATCTAAAACAAAGCTACAGACAAAATATCAGTATTTATGATTAAAAGTCATTGAAAAGAACCTGTTAAAAGATTTTAAAACATTTCACTCCTTTGACCCTGAAAGTCGAACAAGGTCATTATGTTGAACAGATTGTATAGCCTTTCATCCAAGCATGCTACTGGCTAAATATCAACATTTTAGGCCTCATGGTTATGCAGAAGAAGTCGTTTAAAGATTTTAAACAAATTTGACCCCTGTGACCTTGAAAGTGAGTCAAGGTCATTCACTTGAACAAACTTGGTAGCCCTTAACAACAGCACGCTACAGACCAGATATCAACATTCTAGCCCTTATGGTTATTCATCAGAGGTCGGTTAAAGATTTTAACATATTTTAACCCTGTGACCTTGAATATAGGTGAAGGTCATTCATTTGAACACACTTGGCAGTCCTTCATCCTAGCATGCTACAGGCCCAATATCAGTACCATGGACCTTTTGGTTATTGAGAAGAAGTTGTTTGAAGATTGAAGACATTTGACCCCTGTGACCTTGAAAGTGGGTCAAAGTCATTCATTTGAACAAACCTGGTAGCCCTTCATCCCAGTATGCAAGAGGCAAAATTTTAGTACCCTGGGCCTTTTGGTAATTGAGAAGAAGTCGTTTGAAGATTCTAAGACATCTGACCCCAGTGACCTTGAAAGTTGGTCAAGGTCATTCATTTGAAAAAGTTGGTAGCCCTTTATCCCAGCTTGCCACACGCCCAATATCAGTACCTGGGGATTTTTGGTAATTGAGAAGAAGTCGTTTGAAGATTCTAAGACAC